TGGTTGTTGGCCAAGACCTCCGATGGTTCAGGTAGTGGGTCTGGGCGCCAGCGAGGCTCAAAGGAATCGTGGTAAACTTTTCCCTAGAACCATGGATACAAAGTATACTCATTCAGAGAACAGGTTCCATGCTTAATCCAGTGTTATCGGCGGAGGCATTTTACATGTCTTTTGCTCAGGGCTTGTACCCTATATCCATCTTCACCAAAGTCTCGCAGCAAGATTGGTACCGGCGAATATAAATAGCTGCACGTATCGATTCGGCCTGGGTGGCGCCCTGTTTCTAGTGCATCTTCATAGATGGTTAGGTTTAGCATTGCCCACTGCACGAATTGCTAAGAACAGACAACATTGTCGTCCCGGGTGCAACGACCAAATGCACATCCATGCTGTACAACCTCGCGAGATAACAGCAAATTTACCCCTTCTAGTTTAAGTTCCGCTGTCATCTTTGTTCCCTATGGTTCGTTCGTCTCCGATGGTTGGACCAACTCAGCCTTTGTCCCAAAGTCTTGGGAAATGTAACCAATAGAGGAGAATGGTTCTGCGTCATGGCTGGCATGGCAGCCACCCTGCATCTTCGCAGTAAGCTTCCTTCGTTTGTAAGGCCGCCCACTCTTCAGGGCCTTTCTTCTTCTCATTGCCTCGCTGGCTCCTTCTCCCTCCTCCCGATCGTCTACTATGACACCGTGAGCGCATGAAGCCCTCCCCGTTTCATCCCCAGATGCCAACAATGTCGCTCATTCATCGGATGACATGGCTGTTGATAACTATCGCTTCTTTACGGCTGGGGGTGTCCGCACAGACAACTACAACGGAGGCAAGTGCTACAGCGACTCAAACGTCGTCGAAAGGAGCCGCAACACATACTATCCAGGTTGGACCGCGGAGTGATCCGCATCAGTATGTACCCAGCAGCGTCAACGCATCTGTCGGCGACGTAATTGTCTTCGAATTCTATCCGCGAAACCATTCAGTAGTAAGAGCAGACTACGACGCACCATGTGTGCCTGCCCAGACCAGTGGTCCCGTCTTCTACTCCGGCCATTTCACCAAATTCAACGAAGAGAATGGACAGATGATAGGACCGGTGGGTTCACATCCGATGGGATGACCGCGTGGATTACTGACATCACTTAGCCACCCACATGGTCTTTGGTTGTAAACGACACTAAGGTAAGACCTACCCTTGCGACAGATCTTCAATCGCACATGCTAATAGAGCTCCAGCCTACCTTCTTCTACTGTACCGCCATCGGCTCATGCAACGAGAATGGAATGGTCGGGGTGATAAATCCGGTCAGTGATGCTGATACTCAATTGAAACCTCTCGTTGCTGACAGAAGCAGACCGCCAACATGACGTGGGAGCATCAAAACAAGAAAGCGATCAAGTACCCCTACCAGCTTGAACCATGGGAGCACGTTCCTGCCGAAGGCGAGACTCCCAACTCATCAGCAACTTCCAGCCCCTCGCCGTCCTCGTCCGGAAGTCACCTCAGCGGCGGCGCCATAGCCGGGATCGTCGTTGGAACCGTCGCATTCATCGGACTGCTCGTGGCATTTTTCTTCGTCATGGGCCGGAACCAAGTCTACAAGAAGTGGATGACATCGCAGGATGGGACCACGGAGCGGACTGCTCGCTGGGCTCTATTCAACAGCCACGGGGAACGCAAGAGTGACTTCGATAGCGCGCAGCCTCCTGGCGACCAAGCGACGTATATGCCGAGCCCAGATCTCGCCAATCGCACGTATATGTCCGGTCAAGGACAATATGGCTGGGATCCGTCGATGTACCAGTCTATGCCGCAGTCGCCGCCGCCAAGAAATGTAGCTCCCACCGAGCTGGAGGCGCCCGATTCCGCCGTTCACTATCGGACCGATGGAAGGTGACCGGCTAGTGTCTGGTTATGATAATGCCACGGGAGTTAGGATAATGTTTTGTTTGATACGACGAAGACTGAGCACCGGTCAGGGCGAAAATGTTTAGGGCATAGGTTCTTGTTTGGTTGATATCCTGGATCGCTGTACTTTGTTTATCTTGAGGATTTTTGCCTGAAATGCATAATAGACTCGGTGACGAGATTACCCAGCATGATAATGCGCAGTCGGGAGACAGAGCAGCATCAAATGTTACTTTCAGTTGTCTCTCATGATCCATCGAGGTGTGCTTGTAATCATGATTACGAGATGATGGGGGGGGGGGGGGGAGGGTGTAACAAAGCCTGCGTAGGACCAAGTAGGGCAGTGATTTATCCCGACAGACCATGCTCAAAGCATCGTTTTTGGCCCACTCAGACATAGGGGGGAAAGCGTGTTTGAGTGGCAAGGGGCCCTGGTAGGGTCGCCGATCTTGTGTGCGGAATCCAATGCAACATGGGCTCTCCCCGCATTTTCCACTCCTTTAACTTGAAGCTATCCCAAGGCGGGGATAGGTCATGTGTTCCCTCGCGCCCTCGTTGGAGTAGTTATCTTAGTTGAACTCTTGTGGCCTGATACCCAATTATTCTCAAGTAAACGATAGGTTAAGCAACCCGTCCGAACGCAATCAATTCCCTTTCCGATAAGCTTATCACTTGGCAAAACATTGGCATCGCCATCTCCTCCCTTTTTAGGCATCGTCTGTCGGACAAGCACCGCTCGTGGAAGCTGAGATAGAGACGTTTCTTATCAACTTTATGCTTAATTCCCACGATAAAGCTCACTAGTTTGAGCATTGATCTTGGCCAGTTGGAGTAGACTTACCCAGAATCACACCAGCGTCTATAGGACTTATCGTTATCATTATCAGTCTTTCTTCATCCCCGCACGGTATCAGTACTTTGTGCTCTTCATCCAGTCGTGCGACATTTAAACTCAGGATGTCCCCCGCCCATTGTCCCCTCCTTTCCAGAGTCCGAATGCATTGGCAACATGGATAAGAAGAGCGTTATAGATGACCATCAGGTCTCAAAAGAAGAGCCCGGTCATGGAACGGTGACCTATCAAGAGACCCAGCGTGGTCTCTCTTCTAGACAAGTGCAGTTGATGGCGATCGGTGGCTCTATTGGAACCGGTCTGTTCGTGGGTATAGGGTCATATCTGCGCGATGCAGGTCCTTTGTCTGTGTTTTTGGGCTACATGTTCTATGGGCTTCTGTTCGTCTGGCCTGTCAATCTTTGTGTTGGAGAGATGTGTGCGTACTTGCCGATTCGAGGTTCTATCTTCGAGCTGGCGGCTAGATACGTCGATCCTGCGTTTGGATTTGCAATGTGTGTTTCTTGAATTCCTTTGGCAGCTAGTTACTAACATATCTATCAGGGGCTGGGTCTATTTCTATGGCGGCTTAATGCTTGTTTGTACGGAATACTCCGCCGTAGCCACTGTGATGGGGTACTGGACTACTAGTGTCAACCCTGCAGCTTGGGTCGCCATGGCGCTGGTTGTGTGCTTCCTGCTCAATATCGTCGCGGTAAAGTTTTACGGAGAGAGCGAGTTCATCATGGCCTCCACCAAAGTTCTCCTGTTGATCGGTCTTGTTATGCTCACCTTTATTACCATGGTCGGCGGTAATCCGAAACACGATGTTTATGGATTCCGGAACTGGACTCATGGGGTGATGTACGAATATTATACCGACGGCCCGACAGGACGATTTCTCGGGCTTTTTTCCGTCATGGTATATGCAGCGTTCTCAGTGGCAGGCCCCGATCTACCAGCCTTAGCCGCAGGAGAGATCCAGAATCCACGCTGGACCATCCCGCGGGTTGTCAAAATGACTTTTTACCGAATTGTAGGGTTCTACGTGGTCGGAGTCCTGGCCGTGGGTATCATCTGCTCGCCACAAGACCCTCATCTCCTATCTGCCATCGACTCAGGCGCAGCCGGATCGAATGCGTCTCCCTGGGTCATCGGGATCCAGAACCTGGGCATCCACGGGCTCCCAGACCTGATCAACGTATTGATTCTCCTCTCAGGGTGGTCCTGCGGCAACGCCTATGTCTACAGTTCCAGTCGCACGCTCTATTCGCTCGCACGAGACGGCCAGGCCCCGAAATTCCTCCTGAAGTGCAATTCAGCCGGCGTCCCAATCTACTGCGTCATCACCGTCTCGCTTCTCTCCTGCATCTCCTTCCTCGTCGCGGACACCTCCGCCGTCACGGTTCTCTACTGGTTCATCGACCTGACCACCTGCGCCTTGATCATCACCTACACCAGCATGGTATGCGTCTTCCTAGGCTGGTACCGCGCCCTCAAGGCCCAAGGAGTCGACCGAAAGACAGCGCTGCCCTGGGCCGCGCCCTGCCAGCCGTACTTTGCCATCGGGGCCGTGACGATTGGCAGTCTGATCACGCTGTTCAACGGGTTCAACGTGTTCTCGCCGTTCAGCGTCCAGGGGTTCATCACCTCATACTTCGGGCTGGCGTTCTTCGTCGTGATGTTCCTGTTCTGGAAGTTGTACCATAAGACTAAGTTTGTCGATCCCGCGACGGCAGACATCTACAGCGGAAAAGCTGAGATTGACGCCGAGTGTCGGATCTGGGAGGAGGGCGGGTTTGAAGAGCGACGAAAGGCCGAGCTGGCAGAGATGCACTGGGCTAGACGGATGTGGGAGAAGATGTGGTGATGGCCAGGATTCCATTATGTGTAGCTTATCTTAACGTCTACATTAAACCCCTACCTACAACACACCTACCTGCAAACCACTATGTAACATATATGGGCATCCAACGAACTTTAGCACCAAATATCAATCCACTTCCCCCGTAGGCCTCCACATCATAATCCCACCCACATTCCCATCCTCGCTCCCCAAAATCATACAAAACCTGCCCCTCAACTCAAACCCCAAGCTGCGATAAAGCTGTTCCCCATCGCCACTTGCCTCGAGTCCAACAACCACTCCCTCCTCCTGCGCCCGCCGCATCGCTTCCCCCATCAACCGCCTCCCAATGCCCCTGCGCCTCCAGTCCGCAGAGACAACCACACTCTGCGCATGCCACCTCTCGCCATACAAGCGCTTCATCTCCGCCGACTCCCAGAACCGCACATTATCCTCCTCAACCGCCTTCTCGAACTCGGCCACTGCATCCGCATCCGCCGACCGATCCGGTCGCACGAGAGTCTCAATCCACGTCCGGACGGTCACGCACCACCGGCACAGCGTATTCCAGATGGAGCTCTGCGCTGCGATGAGCGCTCGTGCGGCCTTGTCCTCGCCCAGACGGATGAACTGCGCATACGCCACTGGTGTGCCCGGGTCGGAGGCAGAGACGGCGACGAAGCCGATGCAGCGGGGGTTGTAGTAGCGGGCGCGCATCGACTGGGCGAAGCGGCGGGTGAAGTCCTCGGGGTAGGTATGGCGGTGTG